AAGCCTCGGTGGCACTTCGTCGAACGGCTTCTGGACGATAGAAATAAGCGGCTTGTGATCCGTAAACACTTGCACTTCTCGGCCTAGTACATACTGCCGAAAGCGAGCCAGGCCGAATACCACTCGCAGCATCTCTCGTTCCAGCTGAGAATAGCGTGACTCAACATCTGATAGAGAGCGACTGGCACATGTCACTGGTACCCAACAGCCACTGGTATTCTTCTGCCACAGGACTGCTCCCAAACCGTCTGGCGATGCATCACAGCTGATAGCAGTAGGGACGTCCAATGCTGGTTGAAAGAATGCCAACGCTTGCAAAGCTGATGCTATACCAGCCTTTGCTGAGGTGAGTGCCTGCAAGACTTCATCATCTACGCTGAAGGGATCACGCTTTGCTAGCCTGCGCAGAGAAGCCGTGATCTGGGCCAAGTTCGGAATGAACTTTCCAAGGTACGTAGCCATCCCCAGGAACCGTCGCACATCAGAGATAGATATCGGAGGGGCCAGCTCCTGGATGGCTTGTAACTTGTCATCATCTGGGGGACAAGTCAGTCGCACTTAGCCAATGTCCCAGATACTTCACACGGTCCTGGTTCAGTCGGCACTTGGTCCAGTTGAGTCGGAGGTTAGCTGCTCGCAGTCGCTGCTTGACTGCTTCTAGCCGTGCATCGTGTTCTGGTTGATTGGAGCCAAACACTAGGATGTCGTCGATGTAGACGATGACTCCTGGCAGGCCTTCCAGAATGTCGGACACCACTCGCTGGAAAATCTCAGGCGCACATGCAATACCGAAAGGTAAACGCTTGAAACGGAACAGGCCACAGTGCGATGAGAAAGTCGTTAGAGGCCTTGCTTCTTCTGACAAGAGTAGCTGATGGAATCCAGATTCCGCATCTAGAACTGAGAAGACCCCCTGCGCCATCAAGCTGAGCTGTGATCTCGTCAACGGTTGGAAGAACGTTGCGCTCACGTGTAACGCTCTTATTCAATTCTCTGTAATCCACGCATAGTCGCAATGCTCCATTCAGTTTGCGGACTGGAACAAGTGGTGACACCCACGGCGTGGCTTCCTTGACGGGTTCAATGATATCCAACTTGGTCAGCCGTTTCAGCTCGGTCTCGATGTCAGCCCGGATACTGAAAGCTGGGCGTCGTGGTGGCTGGGCTAGAGGCTTTGAACCGTCTTCCAGAGAGATTTCGATGGGTGACACGTTCACCACGTTTGCTTGTGACAGGAGGTTCAGCTCCGTGATGACATCCTGTCCGAAGAGAACGGAGTGCTGACTGGCTGCTACCACGAAACAACTGCACTTCACGTTCTTGCCACCATGTGAAATGTGGACGTCAGCCATGCCCAAAGTCTCTACGACACCGCCATTGTACGCTTTCAGCAAGCGGTCACTCTTGCACGTGGGCTTGATCACATCATCAGTGAGGATCGTCCGAGTGGCACCTGTGTCTAACAGTCCAGTGCACAGCTCACCATTGACTTTGAGTGTAGTCTGGAATGTCTTGTCGCCTGCGAGTGCCGAGCTACTGACGGCGAAAGCGGAGTCGTACATGCGACTTGCATGCTCATACTCATCAGGCTCATCCTCTACTGGTCGGGCTCTTTCTTCGTGTCTTTCCACTTTGTTTGACATGCAGACCGCTGCAAAATGCCCTCGCTTGCCACACTTGTTGCAGGTGACGTTGGCCGCAGGACAATTACGCATGCCTGGTTTGTGACTACGTCCGCAGTATTTGCACTTCTTTCCCTCTGATCCAGAACCAGCTGCAGAGACAGCTTGCACACGCTGGATGGGCACGGGGAACACAGGCGGTGCGTCACTAGCTCTGGTACTATCGTACAGTTTACTGTCAGTAATCGACGCTTCCAACGCCACTGACTTGGTGACTGCGTCGTTCAGGGTCAGCTTCGACTGTTTCAGCTGCTCCTTTCGAAGCTCAACAGAACGCAGGCCCACGATCAGCTGGTCTCGAATTTGGCAGTTGACAACGGTATCCACAGAAGTGGAGCTGAATTCGCAAACATCTGCCTTTTCTCTCAGCCGCTTAACGAACGAAGTCACCGACTCGCCCTCCATTTGGCGGAGTTGGTGGAATTTGTGACGTTCAGACGTGACATTTGTTGACGGTCGAAAGTGTGCCAACAATGCGTCCGTCAAGGCTTGGTACTCATCTCCAGGTGAGCCATCTTGTGTCTGCTCCACCGTGACAACCAGACCTTTCACAATGCGCCTCACTGCTAATCCAACCAGATTCAAGAACAAGCGTTTCTTGTCAGCTGCTGCCGTCACTTCACTGATTGAAAGGAAATCATTTATGTCCTCGAGCCAGAGTTCAAAATCAGCACCGACGTTGCTCGCAGCATAGTCAGGAATAAATTCCTTGGGCGTCCTGCCCTTTGTGGTGGCATAAATACAGTTTGAATTTCCCGGCCTGAGTGCCACTCACAAAATACTGTATGACTGAAGTTATTCTATTCGCTGAGTCGAGAGAGCTCTACAATTGTAGCTCTATCATTACTGGATCAATTGTTACTGACATTAGACACAGAGCAACAAGGATTGGACTTGATCGTCGTCAGACGTAGCATTAGGATAAGAAACTGAAACTTCTCGAGTGTAGTCAGCAAGCCAAAAGATGATCACCAAAGGATCAAGCATGCGCATGAAAACTGCCAGCACTGCACATCGCCATGGCAAATATGGCGATAGGCAAAAAAGGAGAAAAGTTACGTGAAACATTCAAACTGAGTTATTTTAGCATTCGCGAATGTTACGTAATATCGAATTCGCGGCACCCTTTGTCATTTTCGTTCACTGCGCCAATGTAGACATCTATTCAGTCACTCACAAGACAGCCATTGTGCTAAACACTCTTCTTTAGTTCTCTATCAGAAGTGCACCATGTCATCTCTCTCATGCTATACATAAAGCGGTACAAGCACGTGCATGCCTGCACGTGCGTACATAGTACTACATACAACTGCATGTACGATATCTACACACACCACCCCTCGTTTTTTAAAGGGGAAGTTAAGGCAAAAATTAAAATTTCACCAGTTGTAGTCTTCGGGGTGCTGAGTCGAATGGTCGTGGTCCGAGGAAGCTGAGACGCTCCCTTCCTACTTGAATCCCAATCGAACTCGCGCACTTCCACCGAAACTGGGTGACTGCGCCCTACTAGATGGGGATTAGTATGCAAAATGTCACTAAAAGCGCCATTTCGTTCTTATAAAAGTATGGATGACCGCGATTGGCCCATATGTTGTGCTCTTTTGGACGCTGAGTCGATTGGTTTTGGTCCGAAAAGGCTGCGATGCAGCGTTCCTCCTTTATTCCCAATCGAACATGGTTGAACACTGAAGGGGTCACGTGCTCCTGCGTACACCAGTCACCTGGTCACCGTGCCTGCAGGGTACAACTTACTAGCGTGTTTGACCTTTTTTGGGTGCAGTCCTGTCACTCGAGAGAACCTTGGTGTCAAAGTTGTACCTTGCTGGCGTGGTGACCAGGTGATTTGGGCACCCAGGAGCACGTGACCGCTTGTTCAACCCTGTTCGATTGGGAATAAAGGAGGAACGCTGCATCGCAGCCTTTTTGGACCAAAACCAGTCGACTCAGCGTCCAAAAGACTGCAACATATGGGCCAATCGCGGTCATCCGTGCTTTTATAAGAACGAAATGGCACTTTTAGTGACATTTTGCATACAAATCCCCATCTAGTAGGGCGCAGTCACCCAGTTTCGGTGGAAGTGCGCGAGTTCGATTGGGATTCAAGTAGGAAGGGAGCGTCTCAGCTTTCTCGGACCAAGACCATTCGACTCAGCACCCCGAAGACTACAACTGGTGAAATTTTAATTTTTGCCTTAACTTCCCCTTTAACTAAAAAAGAAAAGTAGTCGTAACTGCAATAGCCACATGGCCAATAAGAAAACCAATACAATATATCGATAAACACACACCCAGAAGTCAGGGGTGGGAGGGTGGGATACAAACTGCACCAACGAAAAGCCACTGCCAAGTGACAGGAAAGCGCGGTCCAGCACAACATTTTTGCTGACGCAAAAAGTTGTGGGGAAATCCCAAAATCGGTGCGATTTTGCATGAGCCCAAATGTTCAAGTTACCCACAAAGACACAAGCTTTCCAACTCTCTTTGGCCGTTGGAAAGCGTACTATCTGTGCAGAGGTACAGCTCGACGCCACGCCACGGAAGAAACGCGGAATCAATGTAGTTCCGTACTGACTCGTGACGTTCTAGAACGTCACGCGTGTCACAGTGGCGGTGGCCATGACGTGTCAGAACGTCACGCGTGCTCAAAAGGTTAAGACTGCAACGAACTCGTGAGTCGTGAGATTCAAGTGATTCAAACGATGTACTCAATCGCATGCTGCCTTCATCATGTCATAGGAAACCGCTTGACTGTATCTTGCTATTCCTATTTAACAGAAATTTTATTGATGGTACCCTTGGAGAGTAATGCAATATGGCTGACTGCCCGCAGCCAACCCTGCACTTGTTATGGCTGATGTGAGGTATGAGAAAGAACTTGTTCACATGTTGGCAAATCTCGAGAGACAACGGGACCATTATCTTGACTAGCTTTTGTGCACCCGCACGCTAGTTTCCAGGGCCTCGGCCTTCCTACCTCTCAGACTCATCGCACTCGACGTGGATCGACCAAAAAATACTACATTTTCTAAGACAAGACAGAGAGACGGGCAAATAGGACCGGACGTGACAAGGTAAAACTGAGAACTGAACCAAAAAGCAAACATATTGGCAGCGCGTGCGCAAGCGCATTACAAAGCACTGACCAAATAAAACACGTGATAATGATGCCCACGTTCACGAACAGCGTGCGGAGCACAGAGCACAGAACACAGGAACCAAACCAATACAAAACTACAAAAATAATGACAAACCAATAGGTCATGAAAGGTCTTTCCTTTTATGCACCATCACCAACAGTTAGGTAACAGAAGCACTCACCGAGTTAAGACAATTAAACTTGTGCCAGAGACATACGCCCTAGCAGGTAGAGAATGGTTATAATTTGTACATTTTTCGCGAGCGTGAAATGGGCCATATTGTAAATAGGTACATGTTTGTCCATGGGCAAGGGACCCCGCAAGTATGGTGAAAACAGCCACTGCAAAGCAGTGATATGCTGTGCTGGAGAATCTGCACAGCAAATACCACAGCAAACACACATACCAGCAAAACATACCCAGAAGTAAAACAATTCACAGGTGGACTTTACTTTTAATATATAACCGACGAGGAAACGAGGAACCGATAGTCATAAAATAGAGATGAATAACATCAAATGGCCAGGGATCTGCAAAAAACACCCAATAGGTGCTAATTTGCTGAAAATAATTTTTTGGCGGGAAGTTAGTCCTGACCAATGCCCAAACAGAAGGTGAAGTATTAGGCTCAAAATTTCGTCAAAATGAGTTCATTTATTGAGATATGTATGGTACAGTAAATCCAATAGTGTCATGGATTGGCGAATCTGGATTGAGTGCAAGGCGGCGTGGTCCGAGCAACAATGGCCCAATTGAACAAAGCAAGGGTGAAGTTTGCAAAATGTACGTATATTGTACAAAGATTCTGTGAAAGCTGTCAAACACGCCAAAGTCCATTTCCACACCAGCCTCTGCACCGGTGTGGAGGCTGGTGTGGTCGGATTGCACTCCAAGTACACTGACGCCAGGTTCGGCTGGATTTGGCCTAACGGTCACGCTCACTCAAAGTGTACCTGCTCGGGATTAGCCCTGAATCGACCATGCCCCAAGCCTTTTTGGTACATGAAAATGCAGAACATTGCGAAAGTAAGTGTTTTTACGCTAACGTTTGATTTGCTTGTTTGGAGAAGTAACGTTTCTCCACGCTCTCCTTCAGGAGAGCGAACAGTTTTTATCAAAAGGAGTGAAGGAGGGAATGGAGTGAGGGATGAGAGCGCACGGACAGCCAGTGTTGAGTCGAGACTTGCGACTGTTCGGCTGGTTGGTCACCCGGAGGTCCGTCAGCGCCGGTATGGAGCTGATGCGAGCGCGTGGCCGAGGTTGCGCTGACTAGTTGGTGGCTGCTAGCCGAGCTCGACGACGCATACGGCCTCAGTAATGGAACTGCCATCAGGACACCGACGACGGCTTCAGAATGTTGGAGTCTGCCTTATTCGTGCTGCCAATGCGTCATGTGAGTGATGTATTTTTCCTGAACGTTCGAACCTTTTTGCAAATTATCTGTACATGTGAAAATGGTTTACCCATGTCGTGTAACTTTCGGCTAAGTGGTTCTCGGCTGTAGTTTATAAGTAGAATTGTACTATCATGTGTACACGTGTTATGCCGCTTTGTGTCGTCAGCTGTTATAATTAATGTATTCATCCGTTTCCAGTTTCGTTTGTTGAAGTAAATAGTTGACATTTCGTGTGTTTTTAGGACTGTCTTATTACATGTATATTCCTTTTGCCTATTCTGCAGTCGCACGCGTGTGTTCGCATCATTGGCCGCGCTTGTTCCTCATTTCTTTTGTTCATTTGGCTTATGCAAAGAATAGCCAAGCTTGCTGGGTGATGTCAACGTGAACAAGCATAATAACCCCATCAAAATCTAAGAAGAAAGAAGTCAGAATGACTGAGTTTGAGCTATTTTACTGCAAGTTGTTACAATTTAGACCAATATCTAATTCACAACAGTGCATTTGCGCTGCAAAGATCCGAGCAGAGGCCAAGGAACACGCTGGCACATTACCGGATAAAAGATCGTTTTCATTGAACCGTGAACACCTCAAAGCCCTGCGTGAACGACGGAATGACAAAGACATTATTGTCACGCGCCCTGATAAGGGCCGTGCAACTGTTTTAATGAATAAAACCGACTACCTCGAGAAGATGTCCATTATCCTTAATGACACATCAAATTTCCGTGCACTTGGTCCCATAATGACCTGTGATTGAACTGATAAAGTAGAAAGGAATCTTGTAACAGTCATAATCTTAGGAAACTGAAGAACGAAGAACAAATATCAAAACATGAATTCGATCGCATTACACCGACTGGTACCCTTCGTCCTAGACTCTATGACCTTCCTAAAAGCGTAAACTTGCATGCCCTGTTAGACCAATAGTATCCATGACCGCCTCCCCTCAATACTCTATCTCGAAATGGCTGTGTACTCGTATCTACTTATAGCCTGTTCAAGACTACTACAGTCAGACCTCGCTTATCCGCTCCTCTTTTATCCGGATCCCTCGCCATCCGGAAGAAAATACCCGTAAAAGTCCGTAAATAAGTACGTATTTACTTTCGAATTTAGTGACCACACCCGTACCAACTTTCGGGCGGGTACTGACTTTCGGGCACGAACTAACTTTCGGAACTGACTTGCGTGTAGTGGAGAAGTCATTTTCATGTCGATGTACATGCTACGTGTTGCATGTGCGCACCGTACCGGTACTTATTTCGGGCAGTATGTTTATCGGGCTTGACTTGACTTTAACAGACAGAGCCAAAAGAATGAAGGGGGTATTTCTTTCGGGCAGGTACTTATTTACGGACTTTTACGGTAGCTGGTTACATACTGTAAATATACAAAAATTTCGGCGCTGCAAAATTTCGGCAGTTCACGATTTTTGACATTTCGGCGGCGATTTATTTTCGGCGTGGGGTAGAGGGCATATATAGTGCGACAGATGCTGTGAAAAATTTCATCGGCGTTTTAATTTAGGCGTTTTGGGTCGGTGCCGAATATAGCCGAAATTAAATAGCTGCCGAAAATTTGTATATTTACAGTATTTAAAGCATACGTGATACATCCAACATAAACGGTGTTCGGTTATCCGGTTCCCTCGCCTATCCGGATATTTTTGCGGAAAACGGCCGTGTACGGTTAGGCGACGTCTGACTGTATTGCAAGCGAACCATGAAGGATAGCTTCGACTTTGTTGCGAAGCTTCGTGATAGTCCACTCCCTCTCAATGCACAAATGTGTTCCTTTGCTATTGTAAGTCTCTTTACAAATGTTCCTATTGATGAGACTATTGACATCTGTATGGATGTATTGTACAGTCAGACCTCGCATAACCGCACACATCCGTTTTCCACAAAAAATATCCGGATAGGCGAGGGAACCGGATAATCGAACACACATACTGTTTGTAAGCATGGCATAATTATTATGCTGTACATTTGTAACCAACTATTTTCTTCCGGATGGCGAGGGATCCGGATAAACGAGGACCGGATAAGCGAGGTCTGACTGTACCGTAACAATGATGCTGACACTCCATGGGTATCAGCAGCGGCATTTCGTCATTTGATGTTGTCAGTTAAAACTGGTGTCGTTTTCCTTCAATGGTGTGATGTACAAACAAGTGGATGGTGTGGCGATGGGATCGCCTCTTGGTCCCGTCCTCGCCAATATATTCGTTGGTTATTGTGAGTGCAAGATTGACGAGCCGCTTTGGCGGGCGTTCTATGTGCGGTTTGTTGATGATTCGTTCACTTACTTTGACAGTGCTGAGCGGAGTGAATTGTTTCTCGATTTGCTAAACAGTCTACATCCTGCCCTCTAGTTTACATGTGAGCACGAGCAGTCTAGTAAGTTTTCATTTCTAGATGTACTTGTAGAGGAGACTGATTGCGAAGTGCTGACTTCTGTGTATCGCAAACCTACGTTCACTGGTCAGCACATTGCATTCGATGCATATTGTTCGTCTCAACAGGGTCAACTTTGTGCGTAAACTTGTGGACCGAGCGAAACGTATTTGTTCGCCCAGTAAATTGCAAGCCGACCTTGATTTTCTTCGATCTGTGTTCCTGAAGAATGGCTATCCGGAATTCTTGTTGCACAAGTTTCTGTCCATGGAGCAAAACCGAAACCGCTGCTGATTGGTCCATCTCGCTGTCCCGTCTATCTATGTTTGCCATGGAAGGGGCAGGAATCGATCAAAGTGTGTCATGACGTCAAGTCTATAGTCCGTCGAACTTATTACGCATTACACTTTGTGCCAGTCTTCACAACAATGCGTGCATTCACGGTGTGGAAGGACGTCCTACCAACCCTCCACCTCAGTCATGTTATCTAGAACTTTGAGTGCCGACATTGTGCTAGTCGTTATGTTGGTAAGACTGTTCAGCACCTGAATGCAAACAACACACACCACTTCACATTCTTCCACCCGGCGCACGATCTGAGAGGCCCAAACACGGGAGGCCTAGGAAACAACCAGTTCCTATACGGCCGGAGAGGTCCCCACCGCTGTCTGCCTTCCCGCCACTGACACCGGTGTTGGAAGAGCATGAGCCTGGCAGCTCGTTAGAGGTACGTGCGGAACCGCCATTGGTGCAGCCCGCCGTGTTCAGTTCTCTGTCAGCGAAGGAGAACAAACACTTCGAAAGCCGCTCCAACGCACCTTTGCAGTGCAGTTCTACACTCAGAGACAGTTTCCTTCAGCTTGTACTTCATACTCAACGTACAGCAATGAGTCCAACACCAGCAGATTCAGGCTGCTTAATAATCGCTTATTTTGGTATAATGTCACGTAGGGGCTGTGCACTGGAGAAATCCCCACGTTCAAACACTTTGTAAGTGAAGTAGTTTAGTATGAAGTGCGTCATGGTCATACACTTCAATTTTGACCTTCAACCTTTTCCCGGACTTCGAGCTTCGGCGCTTGCGTATATTAATTCACAATAATTATATTGAATGATACATCATTGGAATGCTACGTTCAATAGCTTTCCAATGAGCTGTCATAATTATGTTCAAGTAGTGAGACCGAAGTTATAGCAGTTTGTATACATGTACTGGTCTATGCCAGTTTCTATATGCTCCGCGAGTGTTACGAGTTATCTCATTCTCCATTCAGGGTGGTTGTTTCATGATGAGTTATCTCCTCGTTGTCTCTGAAAGGGATAAAGTATTGTCTCCACATAGATTACAATTTTCTTCAGACTTTTCCCGTTTTCAACTCCCTCAACCCTTTGGACATTTAAAATGTATTGGGGCTCCCCGCATGGTAGTTTGCATGTGAAGTGTGCTGGTTACAGTGAGGGCAGTGTCCCACCAGCCTATGTGGATTATTATTAAGCATGAGTTTCAAAGTCTGAAGAAAATTTGAACTGTCGCTGCTGGGATGACGTCTACACCATAGCTTAGTGGTAGAGTATCGC